ACAGCCCTTGCCTGACCCCTCCCCACAGTCCCCTCTCCGCACGCACACGACAGCACTGCCCCCACGTCCCCCTGAAAGCCAGCTGCACCCCCACACCGCCACCCGTCTCCCTACGAGAACGACACCACCCAGCGACACTACAGAACTGCAGTGACCTGTTGAAAACAAAATAAACCTTCCAAGGCAGTCAGTCATCCATGCCAGTGTCGTCTTTAAATGGGGACATTTTTAATAAGCACCGTGTCGAGTATCTGTGTATTCCGAGATAGCTAGCACTGAGTGTCTCTCTCCTATCTTGTCTGAACGCTCGTACCGAAAGGGTGAAACTGCGGAGATTGTACCCTCCTCCTATCTTGATCGAGAGCCAGGTCAATGAGTAAACAATTATTCCCCTCATCAGGTCAGCTCAGACATCTTACTGCACCCCTCCATGCGAAGTGGGGAAGGGTGCAGGGTGTGACAGCTCAAGGCTACTGAGTCAGCCTCTGTGCCGTGATGTAATCATAGTGGCATTTGCACAGTGCGAAGTGGACAACTCAAACCCAATTTGCTGCATGATCACTCGTCTTACGGAATACCCCAAGCCCACTGCCAAAGCAATAATGATGCATTAGTAGGTGTGCAATGCTGATGTCCTGCCTGACTGCATCTGGAATAAGTTAGTCGTCTCTGGGCGTGCAGCAATGACCCCTCCCACCCTCCTCCGGGCCGTGCAGTCTGAGCTCTGTATGACCACTACCTGTTCATGCTGTGACATCTGCCACTTCTTCATCACCACACATTTTCTCTTTTCAGTTTTGTCTTTTTTTTTTCGACGTATGTTTGTAGGATATAAAGAATTTGTATGCACAAAAGAACCTAAACTTAAAAACTCCACAGCTTCAGTAAAATGGAGGGGGGATTGCTGACACTGTACCAGGGTTGTGTCATTAGTTACTTACTGCACCGTCTTCCCTCTGGACTGTTAGTAGTAAACCAAAACAATGTTACAGAGACACTTGAACACATTTCTACATCAGGAGTGCAGCTTGTATACTGTTGTGAGATTATAATCAACTGTACAATGAGCCTTTGGCAGGACATGGCGCCATTGATGGAACCTCGGGTCATGCTGTAGTTTTAAACTGTTTTATCATAGTTGTGATTTTAAAGCCGTTTCTAAGGCCCTGCTTTTGGAAGCTGTAACCTTTGTTTGTCCAATCTAGCCACAGCAGATTGGTCTAATTGTACGGCTGCGCGTCTCGGCAGTGGCGTCAGTTCCCGTCCGTCAGACCTCCTCTGTAGTGAATGACGGAGATTTAAATCGCCGCTGGCTTGTCGTTTAAAAACCCACGCCTTTCCCCATTCCTCCCCCACCGCGCTCGTCTCCTGCTCTCCGATCTCCCGTGCCAAAACCCAGGGTCATGTTTGATTTTTTATGAAAGGAAAGAAAATTTAGGACCTGGAACAAGCGTGAAGGGAAAAAAAAACCCAATACCTTACAGCGCAAAAACAAAAAAAAAATGAGAAAAATAAAATCACCACTCTCCAGGACAAAGTAACTGACTTATTTATTTTCGTATGGGTGATTAAATTTTTCCATTGTATTATTTTGCTTCATTCAATAAAGACTATCTTCTCACTGGAGCTTTTGTGAATTTGTGAAAAACGGCCCTTGACAAAATCCGTATACAGATATGTCTAGAAACTGTTCCATCTTTATCCCCCTTTTCCCCAGCAGGCACTGAACACTTGACAGATTTTTTTTTTCGCACCTCCAAGATGGGACTTTAGAAGGTGAATAATCAATGTTAAGCTATTATGAAAGGAATTAAAATGTTAATTGGCTGAAATGAAGGTGATAGGTGAATAATAATCCTACTGAAAACCTTTAAACAAGCTTTAAAAAAGAAAGATAGTCAAGATTTCTCTTCTGCATTTTCTAGACATGACAATATCCCAGCTGTCGGCATGAAAAAGCTTGAAAGAATGATCTTTATATCTGCTGAGCTGGGTTGTGGGAGATTAGAGCACCGTCTTTAAAT